GCTTGCCCGTTGCCAGATACCGTCAACGCGGCGAAAGAGTCGGCAGGTAAGGACCAGAAGGGAAAATCGACTTTGCAAAAGGAGGAGGAGGCATACGAGCGCACAAAGATCAAAGGGATTGCTTCGGGCGGTTATTTGATTGGACGTCATCCGGAGTGCGGTAAGCTAAGTCTGCACCTGGACGTAGCCGTCGATGCTGACGGTATGCAGACATCGTTGTGGATGACCCCATTGTTTCGAATCGGCACTGCCTGATCTTTTCCGAGAATAAAGGCGGCGACAATGTGGCCATCGTGGAGGATCTATCAAGTAACGGAACCTTTGTCAATGAGGCCAATGTAGGTCGGAATAAGCGGAGAGAGCTTCAGGAACAGGACGAAATCGCCGTCATCGACAAAGCCCGTTTCATCTTTAGGTACCCGAAGACCCGACAATCCAGTGCCTTCCTGAATCAGTATACGCTACTGGAGAAGCTCGGTAAGGGTCATTTCGCCGAGGTCTTCTTGTGTATTGAGAAATCTACCGGCCAAAGGTATGCTGTCAAGATCTTCACCAAGACTGCCGGCATGGATGAGAGGTCGAAACAGGAGGGTCTGCAGCAGGAGATCGCTGTCCTTATGGGCGTCAGTCACCCCAACGTCCTCTGCCTGAAGGACACATTCAACGAGCGAAATGCTGTGTACTTGGTCCTCGAGTTGGCGCCAGAAGGCGAGCTATTCAACTTCATTGTCATGAAGCAGAAGCTGAGTGAAGACGAAACGCGCAAGCTGTTCAAGCAACTTTTCCAAGGCATCAAGTACTTGGTATGTGGGCCAAGCATCTCATTCCAACCCGCAAGCTAACAAAGACGAACCAGCACGACCGCAATATTGTGCACCGCGACATCAAGCCCGAGAACATCCTGATGGTGGACAGGGATCTCCACGTCAAGCTGGCTGATTTCGGCTTAGCGAAGATCATCGGCGAGGAGTCTTTTACCACCACCTTGTGCGGTACACCCAGTTATGTGGCGCCGGAAATTCTTGCCGAGGGTAGAAATCGGAAGTACACCAAAGCGGTGGACATCTGGTCTCTCGGTGTGGTGTTGTATATCTGCTTGTGTGGCTTCCCGCCATTCTCGGATGAGCTCTACTCAAAGGACTTCCCTTTCACACTGTCGCAACAAATCAAAAGTGGACGTTTCGACTACCCCTCGCCGTACTGGGATTCTGTTGGGGACCCTGCTCGTAAGTATTGTCCAGCCGGATGAATTGCTGGTTTGGACGCTGACAAGCCGGACCAGTCGATTTGATTGACTCCATGCTGGTCGTCGACCCCGAACGCCGGTACACTGTCGACCAATGTCTCAACCATCCCTGGATGACCCAAAACCAGCCGGGTGTCAATGATAGCACTGATGGCTTGGTCGGTGGTATCCAAGGCTTGGATGTCCATCGGCGAGGCGTGACCAGAGAACGGACGTTGCTGAGCTCCATGAACTCGGTACAAGTAGCCACAAGGCCGCCTGTGGGGGACAGCAAGAAGCCCGTCCACATATACGCCAAGAATACGAAGAAAATGGCCCCGAAAGAGGTCGATCCTCACGGACAACGGAATGTCAGCGAATTTGTTGAGATGGGCGGCAAGGGTGACCAGCCACTCTTCGGCGCAGATGGCGAAAGCATATACTCTAAGGACGACATTAGCGGCGGCAAGACGAAGGGTGGGGGGGAGTAGAAGGCTGCAGTTTGTAGGTTCATGTGTGAGGCTTGATCGTGTTTGCATGTGAATCGTCTTGGAAATATACGAGACGGACGACCACACCAACAAGGAGCATGCGGAACAGAAATCGGTGATGGTTTGCATTAATCAGCCTCCTGATACCCGGGTTGGGTACCTGAGGGAGGCATATATACCACGCTCATGGCACCGATGGTAATGTTGCAGGCTTGGGAAGATGGAACTTTTGGTGTCCCCTTCTAGAGAAATGCGGGCACGGCTTGGCAAAAGTTAGGAGTTTTACTTATATTGTCCTTGGTCGAAAGGGAGTTCAAGTACCGTAATAATGAGTTTATCACCACATATCCAAGTAACCACACTAGTGATTCCGGTACGCTAAGGAGGATCCGATGTAAGATGAGCAGTCCTCTGGTTCAGGACTGCATTCAATCTCAGGACTGCACAGCCCGGCCCGTTGATGGCCGCAACCGCCGCCATGCCGGCTCCGACAGAGAAACGGGGCGGCTTGTCAGATGCACTATTGGGTTGACTCAACCGGAAGAGCTTCACGGAGCCGGGCCGTGACTACAACACGTTGCTGCGGTTTTGCTACGTAGTTTTTAACAACATGAACAGTTCTGCGTACCCAAAGCGCTTTCGGACTGAACAAGACCTAATGGCGTTTCTTCACTTAAAAAATAAAAATAAAAAATAAGAAAGCGATTAACTAGGCCTGATAAATACAGCAGGCACTTGATCCAGGTCCCCAGTACCCCGCCTGGAAACAGACCAGGCAAGAGCCTGGCTCTTTCACCGCCTTCGCCTAGAGCCCTGCAAACGTACTAGCGGCGTCTTCTCGCACAGAAATCTGGTGGCAGAAAAAATTGCCCTGCGGTCACCACCAAACACCCCTCCATCCAACGATCTGACCGGAACGGCCTTTGGCAAATCGACACGACAGACCTACCCCCTGTCTCCGTTTTCTCAAAGCACACGCCCCCTCTCCCTCTCTCCCTCTCTCTCAGGTCCAGTCTCTTCACGTTTTCGGCCGTCTGTTTTTTTCCGGGTTTGACCTCCTCTTTTTGGTTTTCTTTCCCCCGACAACCGCATACAACCACCACGACTTGTTTCCTTCCCCCCGAAACCCACACTCACCCCCCAAGTCCAACAGACCGGAATCATGGCGGCGGGAGCGAAGCAACAGGCGCAGCCGCAGCTGCTGTTCGTGGATGGATCCTTCCAGGAGCTGGCTCGTGAGATGGCCGACTACCTCCACATCGCCGAGGAAGTCAAGCCTCTGATCGAGAACGAGGCCAAGAAGGAGGAGGTGCTGAGCAAGCTGGTGCGCTCGTCAGCGGCGCTGTCTTCGGTGCCCGAGAAGGAGTTCACGGCCGCCTCGAACCTCATGATCCACCTCGTCCTCCAGTCCGAGGACCCCAAGAAGCACCTGCCGACCCTGTGCCAGGCCTTCAGCAAGCCCATCGCCTCAAGCCCCGTCAACGGCGTCGGCCTGAGCCTGAACGCCCTCAGCACTATCTTCAACCTCATCACCCCCGAGAACCCGATCAGATTCAACGTCTTCATGGCCATTCTGCGCTTCCTCAAGTCGCACGCCATGTTCGAGGCCATCCAGCCCTACCTGAAGCACCTTCCCAGCTGGTTTGAAGAGTGGGCCACCAGCGAGGAGTACCAGAGGCAGATGTACGAGGAGATTGCTGAGGTTGCTAAGGAGGCCGGCAAGGAAGAGTGAGTCCTTTGAAAGATCCGGACGTTGCGTCGCGCACAGATCTGCGCCATCAGATACAGTAATGCTGACATTGTGGGGTAATCACCCCGGACCAGGGAGAGCTACGAGTACATTCTCAAGGCCCTGCGCACCTTTGATGCCGACGATAAGGAGGAGATCGGCTCCGAGGACGCTCAGAGACTATCCCTTCGCGCCGTTCGCGACGCCCTGCTGTCCAGCACACACTACCTCTTCACCGACATCCGCAGCATACCCTCGGTGCAGAACCTGTCCGAAACCCACCCCGTCTACTCGCAGCTTCTCGACATCTTCGCCGAGCAGGACCTCGAGGACTACAACGACTTCAACGACGAGCACGAGGGTTTCGTCGAGAAAGAGAAGCTCGATCACGAGAAGCTCCACCGCAAGATGCGCCTCCTGACCTTCGCCTCCCTCGCCGCCCAGACGACCTCGCGCCGCATCGAGTATTCCGCCATCGCAAAGGCCCTCCAGGTTCCCTCTGAGGAGGTCGAGATGTGGGCCATCGACGTCATCCGCGCCGGTCTCGTCGAGGGTAAGCTCTCCCAACAAGACCAGGTCTTCCTTGTCCACAAGGTCACCTACCGCGTCTTCGGCACGCGGCAATGGCAGGAGCTCGCCACCCGCCTCGACTCGTGGAAGGGCACCTTCTCCAACCTGTACGACGTCATCCGCAAGGAGCAGGCCAACGCCAAGGCTCAGAAGGAGCGTGATGCGCATGAGGCCGAGCGCAAGGCCCAGAACCCCGGGAACGAGGGCGGCGGCGGCGGCGGTCGCCAGCAGAGAAACCAGGGACGTCGCGACAACCAGCAGCGCGAGCCCAGAGAACCCAGAGAGCCCCGGGAGCCCAAGGAGCGGACGGAAAATGACGACTAAATCAAAGTTGAAGGGGTGATGAAGGTCAAGAGTGTCTATCGTTGAGCAGTTGATGAGGGTCACCCTTACCTGGTTCGGGTTCCCCGTACCTTTCTCGATACCTCTCCGGGGTGAAGAATACCTACGACACGGGGGGGGGGGGGGGGGGGGGGGGAGCTCTATCAAAAGGGGGGGCACGAAGATGGGGAACCGTCCGGCGTTGTTGTCAGGGCAAAGGAATAGGGGAAGTTCCCATCCGTATCCGTGTTTTGTAATTACGGCGAGGAGAAAGAAGGGAAAAACGTTTTTTATGGCCAAGTTGATTACGGATTAGAGCTGAGCCCTTGCAAAGAAAATGCTGCCAGGACATGTGTTATGACATGTGGTCGAACGAAACGGAAGGAGAGACGACGGTTTTTTGTTAGAGAAGGCCGGCCACGGTCTGCCACGTTGGCACGGCGGTCTTTGGTAGGGCAGGGACAGGAGTCCCCTCCTGAAATGAAATCCGGCGTAACGAGAGATTACGATATGCGCGCCTCCCCTCCGAATGCGTGCGCGCGCTTGTGTGTGTGAAGGGTGAAGAGTCAAAGGGTCATGAGCTACGAGCTTTGCCCGGCCTGCTTGAAGTGACAAACAAGGTTGCGTTCCCTAGATGATGAGACGGGGAAAGAGAAGGAGAGCAGGTGAGGACGCGTGGTGGTCAGCAAGAATATGCTTTGGTGTTTTGGTGTGAGTTGATTTCTATGATTTCATTTTCCAAGAACTCGAGTCGTAGACCGCTCTCTCTCTCTCTCTAGATATACAATAGCCAACGACAAAGGAGAATAGAAGGAGTCTCAAATTGTCCAATTTCACACGCACGCAAGGCGGGTTCTCTGTCGAGAGTCGACGCGGCAAACCACACAGCTCACACACCCCTCATATCCTCCACCTTTTTGCACCCAGGCCATGTTTTTTCTTCTAACCCGATCCAGATATTGTTTATACTTTTCCTGGATGTTATCACCCCCAGAAGATGCGAAGTTGTTTCTAACACGCCAGAACCACGACTTTCCAATTGTTCTCTGGGGAGCGGGTGGAACGGGCGGGATGATTTGCATACTCACCGGCCGGTTGCTGTGGGCACCATTTCTTCTCTAGGCTGTACTCGGCAATCGCCAAGCAATAGTTTGAACCTTCATCTACAGACCCAGACGCTTGCTAAGTTCCGCGCGGGTCTTGGCGTAGACATCCTGCGGTGGAGGCGTAGCATCGAGCTTGACAACGCGGCCTTGCTTCTGGAAGTAGTCCACCACGGGCATGCTGGTCTCGACAAACGTGCGGAAGCGCTTGCGAATGCTTTCGGCGTTGTCGTCGGTGCGGCCGCTCGTCTTGCCGCGTTCGAGCAGGCGGCTCTCCATAACACTCTCGGGGCAGTCGTAGAAGAGGACGAATTTGGCAGGGCAGACGGTCTCCTCGAACTTGATGGCCTGGTCCATCTTACGCGGGAAGCCGTCAATGAGGAAGCGCTTGTTGCCCTGCTTCTTAATGGTCTCGGTCATGGCGTTCTCGAGGAGCTGAACGGTCACTTCCATAGGCACGATGAGACCGTCCTTGATATAGTCCTTGATAAGTTGACCGAATTGCGAGCCGGGGCGGTCCTGCTCAGCGCGGAGGAGGTCACCGGCGGAGAGGTGAGTGAAGCCGTAGTCGGAGACCAGCTTGGCGCATTGGGTGCCCTTTCCGGCGCCGGGGCCGCCAAGAACGAAGAGGACGGTGACGTCGTCGGGGGAGAAGGTCGGCGTGGACTTTTGAGGGGAGGGGAGGGCGGAGTTGGATGAGGGAGCGGGAAGAGCGGCCATTTCTGTGGCAATGCGTGTTAGTCGAGGCTCACAAAAGCATTAAGGCTCCTTCCAGCTTTAGGCATGATAGGTAGCTTCCAAATGAATGGCATGTTTGTTTGCAGTGCAGGGAGAAGAGACGAAGGCATCGGGATTATAGCTCACCTGCTCTCTGGTCTACAAGAAACTTGTAGGCTAAGCTACCACCACCAATGACGACGAGGAATGGCCAGAACTTGATGCCGGAAGACTTCTTGGGAGGCTCGGAGGAGTAAAAGCGACGCGCCGGGAATCGCTGCTGAAGACGGAAGGAAGATCGCGAGGAGATCAAAACATTAGAACGAATAGAAGAAGAAGGAGAAGCAGAAGCTCTGGAGAGCAGACGGGGTGCGACGGAATGCATGGCGGCGGTGGATAGTGCTGACAAGTGGCTAGACAAGCGTCAATGCAAAGTGACGACGGTACTGCTACACCAAGGACTGGGGAGGGAAGAGGTAAAAAAGAGTGACGGGTTGGTTCTGGTATGTGAGTGGTAGTTCGAGACTTGTCCTGCTTGTTTGGCGTAGCTTGTGAAGCTAAGGAAGGGTAGGCCTGGCCGCGAGAACAATTTCGGGTGGACGAGCTAACTCCTGAATGTGGGGCCTGGGTTTGGGAGGCATTGGCATTGGCATTGGTACCACGGCACCCTGAGCGCCCCCCCTGACGTATGTCCACATTTTCAAGATTCCAGATTTGCGGTCCGTCGCGTCGCATTATCACGTGGGATATCAGCCAAGATAAGCATTCGTCCATCGACTTCATATGGGATTTTGTTCGCAATGTCGGTCAGTTTCAGATAAGCAAGTGCTACTTTTGGGGCTTAAACGGCAGATTTACAAAGTATTGGTGGCGAACAATGAGTCTACCACGATCGATCATGTACAAGTTGGACGGGATGCATTGTGTGCCCTTTTGATTCCTTCATGAAAGCCGGGGATCAGACAATGTTTGTAACACATCGGTACGCGGTATCGTAAGTTCAGTTGCAGTTTACTATAATTATGTTTCTTATTCCTCCACCGAGGAGTGCCATCCGTCAGAATCATATTATCGATAAAACGCGGACTAATTGATTACCCACTGACTACAATACTAGGTGGAAAGTTTTGTTATAACAAAGAAATATATATCTACTAATTTCTGATTTTGACTGGTGATCCTCCTGGCTGATAATGTTACCTGCTGATTGGGTTGTTTTTGGCTGTAAAAAGACTTCCGAACTAGTACTTGACAATGGCCCTCCGGGTATTGAAGTACATATATCCGTACAGGCGAAACTCCTCGCGTATTTATTTGATTGTGTAATTATCGCTCTACTTAGTCGCGTTATTTTGCGCCATGTCCAAGTACTTAGGATATAATCAATCAATTATCATGAAAGAGGTCCTCTTCGCGCCAGCTAGATAATACCAGTGAGGCCCAGCGTAGTAGTCGGGTCAGTAACGACCGGAGAATGCCTGGTGTTGCATGTTTTTTGTTGTTCCATATCTGGTGGCCCTTTGTTATCCATCCACTCCATCCTCGAGGAGCAAGTTCAACGGCCACAAACTGCAATGCCTCGAGCTACAAGCCGGGGAAACAGATAAGACATTCATGGCAGAGGTGAACATAGTGATTTTGTCCGGAAACCCATCTCAAGACCAATTCCCGGTGGGGTCAGCCTCAGGAGAATCAATAAGAGTCAAGCAACGAACACAAGCCGACAAACGACCTTATATATATAAATAAGATAAGACCATCCGATTTCGCAATCCCAAGCTAGCCCCGGATTTTCTGTTATGTTACAAAGTACAACCCAATATGCGAAATGAGAGTGCAACACCTGTTGCAAGAGTAAAAAGGCAAGAAGATCAGAGCGCAACAATCTGCACCCCTGCTCCAGCCGCTCGTCGTCTAATGCTGCTAGGTAACCCATGAAACTATTTTCCCAATGTCTTCCTGGCCTCCAATTTCAGGCGTTCCAAACGATGTGAGTAGTGATTGCCCTAGTAATTCAGCTCACCACCGCCGCCACCAGCAACATGGTCGAGATCCTCGTAACTCTTGAGACTGCGTCCCTGAGTAGCCTCGCGGGGACCGACGGCGGCTCCACCTGCAGCAGCGCCGTCTCCCCATTTCCCAGCGCCGCCGCGACCTCTTGCGCCCATACCACCGTCCCAACGGGGGTTCGGACGTCGGTCGTAGGGCCCAGTACGATAGGCACCACGGCCACCACCCATGCCTCCACGGCGGATGGGGCCAGGACCACCACGGTCATCGCCGCCGGCGTTCCATCCAGGTTGAACGCCAGGGTGACCGCTGCCAACGAATGGTGGGAAACCGCCTGGCGGCATGGGGAAGCCCGGGATAGGCATCATCCCGTTCATGGTGAAGTTCTGCAAATTGAAGCCACGGGGAGTTCCAGTCGCAGACTGGCCATTCGCTGGAGGGAAGTGGCCGTTGGAGTTGGCATCCGTTCGCGACGGTGCGATGTGGGATGGATCCATAACATAGGCATTGATGAGGTGGAACTGCGGGTTGGGTTAGCCATATCCTGCACAAGTATTAAAAGGGTAACTGACCTCTTGCTCAATGCCCTCGAGCCAATCGTTATGGCGCTTCTCAACGTGCTTGCGCCAGAAGTGCTCCTCCTTGAACAGCTTGGTACACTCGGGCACCTTGCACCTCCACTTATGCTCGTCTTCTTGCTTGACAAACTTGAGAAGCTCCTCACTAACAGCGTCCTCGACTGGCCGGCCTCCGAGTTTACGCAGATCCGCCGTTTCAGGCTCTAGGATCTGCATGATCTTGTCCTCAAAGGTCTTCACCCAGTTGTAGGCACGCAGAAGCTGCTGTTCTGCCTTGCCATTGGTACCACGGAATTTCTTGTCGTTCTCGGTTGCTTCGCCCTCTTCCTCGATCTCACTGCGCTTCTTTCCGGGGAACGGCTCCCCGTTGGCGCTAGCGCGCGCAACGGCCTTGGCAGCGGTGCTGAGAGTGCTTCTCGGGCGACGCAGGTGACCACCAGGGCACTTGCGAGTTAGCTCGTGGACCGAGTCGCTCTCGAAGACGCAGAAGAAGCAGAAATGGTAAACGCGTCTGAGATACTCAATCATCAGATCCAGCTGCTTCTTCTTCACGAGCAGCTCTTCGTCATCGGTGTCCTCCTCCTCCACAGCACCCTCGTCCTCGTCATCGTCAATGGCGCCGTCTTCTCCGTCGTCCATGCCGTCGTCGACGTCGAGATCACGTTCCTTCTTGGGCTTCTTCTTTGTTGCGCTGGCGGCAGGTTGGAGACGACCAGCATTCTTAAGATCATCGACTCTCTCCTCAATTTTCAGTACGGCATTGAAGTCGGAACCAAAGTCTTCCTCAAACTTGTTGACCAGACGCTGGACGAGGTTTAAGTCCTTCTCAACACGCTCAGGTGCGGAGAAGAGATCCCACAGAGCCTTCTTTCGAGGGTGGCTGGGAGGGTTGTGCACACCGACGTGGCAGACAAAGTCACCTCTGACTTCGTCCTTCACAGTCTTGCCATTGACAGCATCGAGAGCCTTCTCAGCAGTTGAGATAACGGCTGGCGACTTCAAAGGCAAATCGCCGTCTTCATCCTTGGGATCCACACGGTCGACAACAGGGGCGACCTCTGATGAAGGATGAAGCATGACCCAACCAATACGGTGATACCGCTTGCTGGGGTTGGGATCCGAAAGAGAAAGCCACTTGAAACCACCCTCTTCTTCGCCGAGATGTTCTTTGCAGAATGTCTCTAAGTTTTGCCTGCTGACGTGAGGGGCAATGGTCTTGATGAGGAGGGTTGGCTGGTACAGGTTCTCGTCTCTGATGTCAGCGCCGTTTGCCGGCACAAGGTCGCCAACGCCGAGGATCTCATTGGCGGCGGTTGCTTCACCCTCCTCCTTCTCTACGAGACCACCGAGGCCGTTCGTCTCGCTCTTAGGGATACCTTCAAGGGAGAAGTCGTCAAAGGTTCCGGACTCGAGATCTTGCTCCCATTGGCTATAAGCGCCTCTGCGGAACTCATTAAGTTGGGCTCTGAAAGCATCGCGGATCTCAGGCACATAACGTTCGCGAAACCACTGCTCCTTCTTGTGCTCGCTGACAAAGGTGCGAGCCATCTTTCCTTGGAGTTCTTCCTTGTAGGCATCATACGCGAGCTGAATCTTGGCCTTCTCCTTCTCGCGCTCTTCCTGCACCTCGCGAGGGCCACGAGCGCGCTCGGGCTCGCGACGGCGACCGGTGCGTTGACGCTCCTTCTCCTCCTTGATCTTCTCATTCATTCTCCACCATTCGCCAAAGTATGAAAATCCGACCTGGTAAGGGAGCTTAACCGGATCCGCAAGTGGGTTGACGGTTAACGGTGTAGGGGCACTGCTGTCTTGCCCGGGGACGTAGCGATCAATGTTAGCGGGCGGCGACGTGATTCTCCGTTCTCGGCGATCATCGCGATCTCGACCACCGGCGTAGTCATCGCGACCGCGCCCTCTCGGTTCATAACGGTCGATGGCGGCCGGGGATCGAGAGCGACGTCTGTCACGGTGTTGGCGCTCGTGGGCTGTAACAGTTCGTAAGTAAGCAGCTATCGACTGTATGCGACAACTAGCCTCAGCGTCGGGGATGACTCCCAGAAAGCCAATTGAAGCGAGCGAGTGGGTGAAAGATTGTACGCACCAGGAGATCTACCGCGATAGAAAGTATCAGCCCGCTCCTCCTTGATTCGTGGGTCGTCGCGACTGCCCCACGTCCTGTCGCCCGGCGAGCGCGCGGAGGAGTCTCGGTGCGAAGAGTACGAATCCATGATGGGTCCGTCGCGACAAAGCGATTATAGTGTGCGTCTGTCGTCTTTGCTCAGCTGAAATGACCGTACGACCTGATTAAATATCGCGTCCGCGTCGGGTAGCTGCGTGCCTGCTACTCATGTGACTTTGTCTGCTTGCTCGATCGGAAGGAGAAAAGGAGGAAGAAGCCTGTTGTTTGGCAACATGATTGCGGTTAGAAATAATTCTGCAGGTGGAATACTGGGCGGCTTCTGAGGGAAACGAGAGAAGAAAGAATTGAGAATTCGAGAGGGTGGCAATAGTAAAAGCGGTGCAATTGCCAGAGGGCAAAGATGATTGAAAACCGGCTCGTCACCGCAAAGATGACGGCGCAAGCGAGAGAAGAAAGAATATGGCGCCAAATAAAGTCCGGCCGAGGATGATTGACAAAGGGGGGAGGAGTTGAACAGGGAGTCAGGCAGGAGAGTAAGAATGGCTTGTCGGGGGGGAGGGAAGACAGGCAATAATGGGGGATTTCTGAATTGAATCGAGGTGAGGTAGGAAACAATAGGGCTGTGGCAAGTAAAGATGATGCAGGAAGAAAGGGGGGAACGAACTATTTCGGTTGCGAGAGCGAATGCCTCGACGATGAGACGCGGTAGGTTGTCGTGATCCAAAGTTGAGGAGGACTCTGGGATGCACGAAGCAAAGATGACCGACGGTAGACTTACTCGAAGGGCGACGAGACAGAGACGCCAGGACGTGGAACAAAGAAGCGGCTGGAGGGGGTCCACTAGAGACTGAAACGGGCTTAGTATCGTTCCGGATGATCTTCGGCAGCAATGTTAGCAATCTTAAGTACATATAAGTTTCGCATAAAGTATTGGGAGTTTGGAAGCTTTGTTGCTGTGGTGGTGGGCTGCTGGTTAGAGTTGTTTTGGATCAATTGGCCTTACAAGGGCTTTTTCTTTTTCTTTTTCTTCTTCTTCTTCTTTTCTTAAGCTGTATTGCGGTGCAGTAACGAAAGAAGGCACAATGGTCGTGAAGCCTGTTTAGCGTAGCTGCAGAAGATGTCGAAGACCGCCTGCTGTATCTTCCTTCCCTAGCAATTCCAGCAAACCCCGTCTCAATCGAGTACACAGTTGGCTGCAGCCGGCGGATCAACTGAGCTGAATAAAATGCTGGAGCTGCAGCAAACGGCGACCGATCCATCCCCAGCGATCCCCGAAGCTTCACCCCTGCAACGACAGGAACAGATCCATCTGAGGCAACTGTGACCCCATCCGTCAACTTAAAATACCGACAACGTGACCTTTCTCTGTAAATTTCACTCCTTGAACCTATCCGCTTCCGGGACCATTGGAAAGAAGATAAGAATAGTAAGTTAAGCCACGGCTTTTAATCCACGTCCCAAATTTGCTATTATAAACACCGTCGCAATGAGATTCTGTTGTTCGCGAGGGCAACCCGATGCATTGCGTCATAGTCCTGTAAAAGGATAGCTCCCTCGCAGTTCGGACTGGGACCCGCCCCGAAGCTCATCTCATCGCGTGATCCAAATGGACTGACATTTTTACCCTACAACCGCCTTTAAGAAATTGGCGAACCTCGCTCTGACATCCAATTCACAGTCAGTATACAGCATCACACCTAAGACCGACACTGACCAACTTCGGCAACATGACAACCTTCATCCCTGCCTTGACCTTGCCCCACCAGGTCTTCGAGAACGCCGCGGCCTCGGTCCTGCTCCCCATAGCTTTGGGAACCGCCGTCGGCTATTCTACGCGACGTACGTGCTTCAAGAAACCTCGGAAACCCTCTCGGATACAGTCGCAGTAACTGACAACACCGACAGCCAAAGCCACGCAAAAGACCTATGGCGCGATCAAGAACCCGCCCTACCGTCCTCCCCCATGGGTTTTTGGTCCGGCATGGACCCTCCTCTATGGGTAAAGCCAGCCCGCACACCTGTCACTCTTCCCCTCGACGAGCACACCATAACTAACATGTTACACCACAGTCTGATGGGCTACGCTGCCCACCGTGCCACCCACACCGGCCTATCCCCGTTCTCCTCCATCGAGCACATCAAGATGACCAAGCAGGGCGCGACCCTCTACACCATCCAACTGGGTCTCAATCTCATTTGGATGCCCCTTTTCTTCGGCCTCAAGCGCCCCATAGAAGCCACCGTTGACATCGTCGCTCTCCTCGGTGTCAACACCTACCTGACCTACCTCTGGGGCTCCGTCGACGCCGTCGCCGGCGCCTGCCTCGTTCCCTACCTCGGCTGGCTCTCCTTCGCGACCTACCTTTGCGCGGGGGCGGGGTATCTGAATGACTGGGACATCAAGGGTGCTGAGGAGCGCGCTGCCGCCGCTGCGGACAAGAAACAGTAGTGTCGCAGCTGCCTTGGCATTATGGGCCCGAAAGAGACAAAGAAAAAAAAAAGAAAAAAGGAGGGAGTTGCGTTGTAAGTTTGGGAACGGCATTTACGGCTGGTGGGAGCATATTTCTTAGTTTAGCATTCCGAAATGGTATTTATCCTCTATTTTGATCCTGGAGCGAGGATGATCGTACCCAGTCGCAGGAGCTGGATGGATTTAATCTGCGCTTGGTGAAGATTGTGGTGAGTTGATATCCGTCAACAAGTTAGTTGAGGAGTTTGACGAATAGCTTCTTTGCTACGCGAGATCTAGAGACGGTCAAAAAGTCTCCAGTCAACATCCCTAGCGCCCAGCATCAACGAGGCCTGACAAGTCCATTGTCTCCCCTTGTCGTCTGTTCCATCGTCCCTCCCCCCCGAACGTATCCATCATTCATTGCTGTGATTGTCTTGATCTTGGTCCTAGCGGGTACACCATGAAAGATGGGTGGCCAAGTTGCCCGGCACTTCGGAAACGCCCATGTTGAACACGGACTTGAAGATGTTCGCCGCGAGATTAAGGAGTTGAAGAAGCAGGCAGACAACCCGGCTTGCTGAGTATAATGAGTGACTGCTAACGAGGAGTTCCTGCCTCCGACTTCGTCATGTCTATATTGCGGCAGAATTTGAATCTCTCCTTATAATAGACCTGGCTTGTTTTCCTGGACCAAGATCATCTGTAGCGCAGACACGCGGAACCCTGTCATGAGCCAGCGACGGGGAACCCTCGCGAAGAGCCAGCCCGCTTACATCAGGGGGGTTCCAAGAGAAGACTCTTGTCCCTTGGCCATCACCATCTGGAGGAGACGCCAGCCCAGGGTCGAGGACCCTCGCGCGCAGCAGGCGCTTGCACTACGGCCCAGACCGTTTCGAGAGTTTACCATCAGTACGATGTCCACTTCAATGTACTGCGGCCGCCTAAGTAGGCTAACTTTCGTTGGAGATGCCGGACCTTTTGAGTGTTCCGTTATGTGCCTGCCCTGCCTGAGAGGCGTAGAAAACACCCCTGAGTCAAGCATCCTCGATGAACCAGTAGGTGAACACTCCTTCTAATCACCGTTCCTTATAAATCAACAAGCTGGGTCGTCGGTAATGCGGATACCAGGACGACAAGCCGTCATGAGACCGCCCTCGATTTATATCTCGTAGTTCGGGCTACGAAAGCTCTCAGGGAATGCCACCAAAGTCGTATGAACCTGTGCACTGAAGTGGCCCAAGGTCATGTCAAGAATACCAAGAATATTCCACGCTTGCATAGCCTCCCATCTTTTCATCATCACTACCCGTCTATCCAGGCCACGTTACCCAAGTATGTACATGCAAGTATAAACGAGCCAAAGCTGTCCTGTTGCGCCTCTAAATGCTGTGCCATCCCAAAATCGAAAAGCCCAACCAACCTTTTTACCACTGCAACTACCGCGATCACCGACCACCCCGAGTCTAGGATATAAGAAGAAGAAGAAAAGACTTCTACTGCAAGGGAAAGTGTCGCTTGAGACCGTCAAAAACAATGAAAATGAAGGCCGAGCTGGGCGCCGAGCGCAGACAGGTGATGCCGCACCCCCGATACAGCCCCTTGAGCCCATGCTGCCGCCACAGCACCGCGCCCTCCTGCCAGAACGTCCTCCCGCGACCCGCGTCGCCGACGGCCGCCGTCTGCATGCGCGACTTGATCGTGTCGGCGGGGAAGAAGAGGAAGTTGTACGACACGCCGCCCGAGGCGCCGGCCAGCGCCTGCTGCCACAGCGGCAACGGGTTCGAGGCCAACACGTCCCTCTCGGCCTGCGTCTTCACCGCCCGCCCATTCATGATGTGGAACATCTTTGTCACCGTCTCCTTGCTGCCGAACCACGCGGCGCAGCCGCCCGATTCACGGATGAGGGTACCCATCTGCCCGTGCCAGAAGCCCAGGATGCCATAGTGACGGTAGATTTCACGGATGACGGGCAGTGGGCGCAACTGCGGTGCCGCCACGCTGCCGACCTGCGAGGGGGCTTGGATCTTGCACTTGACGAGCTCGACGGGGGTGAGGACGTAAGACGTAAAGAAGCCAGAGAAGGCACCGGTGAACCAGAGCGCAGAGAGGGATAGTTGCTGGCCCTGAGGCGTCCAGCCGGAGGAGTATACAGCGGCGCGGCCAATGCGTTCGAAGAAGAACAGACTGCTGTTCTCGAGGGCGGCACCAACGAGCGGCGCGCTAATGCCGCGGTAGAGCCCGCGGACGCCCTCGGTCTTGAGGGACTGGCGGAAGCAGTCAAGCGGGCCCTTGTAGCGGAGGGGCTGGTTATCGGGTTGGGACTGGAGGCGGACCTTGACTGTGTCGAAGGGGTACTCGATGTATTTTCCGACGACGCCGGCGACCTGGTGGACGAGAGAATGTCTCGTTAGTGAGGGGCTCTAGCTTCCTTTGAGAAATTGAGCGCAACGTACAGATCCGTAGACAATGTCCTCCACCGCCTCCAGAGCCGCAGTACGGCTCTTCTTCAAAGAGACCGGTGCGTCGTGGTGGGGAATCTCCATTGCTGCCGCTGCCGAGTCCATCGTGATGACGAGTCAGGCCGTGAGATGGGCGAGAGGTAGATGCCTGAGCGATTCGAGGTCGTCGTTTGTAGG